CAGCGACTGGAAAAAGACACTGGTGTTCGGTCGAACCGGTGGAAACAAAATCGTCACTCCCAGAATAACTATGCAAAATAACGATCTAAAGTTGAACCATTCGAGCCACAATATTAACATAAAAATGACTTTCGTTGCATTTGACAATGATAAACTTACCGAAAAGCCGTGTTTTTCTCGGTCGGTATAATCCGCCATTTTATTTGTGTGTTTGCCACCAGGCTCTGCCCGGTGACGTCATCATGTGCGCTATAGAAGGAGGTTTGTGATTCGTTGACTAAAATCGTCGATAGTGGGTCTCGTTGAAATCTCGTTACATAGGCATCGGTTCAGATGTAGGTAGGGCGGAATTAAAAAAAATCACAAAATCAAAATCAAAGTAAAATAATAAAATAAAAGGGCATTAATAACAAAAGTAATAAAAAATAAAATTAAAATAAGTTTATAGCCAAAATAATTAAAGCCCGTACACTACATCAGATTTTAATCAGATTGCACCTCGATATGACACTACACTATGGCAGCTTACCCAACAGTAGGGCAGTTTACACCACAATATTACATATTACCCTAGTGTGGCAGTTACACCTCAATATGGCATAATACACTACAGTGTGGCAGCTTACACAACAGTAGAGCAGTTTACACCACAATATGACATATTACCCTAGTGTGGCAGTTACATCTCAGTATGACATAATACACTACAGTGTGGCAGCTTACCCAACAGTAGGGCAGTTTACACCACAATATTACATATTACCCTAGTGTGGCAGTTACACCTCAATATGGCATAATACACTACAGTGTGGCAGCTTACACAACAGTAGGGCAGTTCACACCACAATATGACATATTACCCTAGTGTGGCAGTTACACCTCAATATGACTTAATACACTACACTATGGCAGCTTACCCAACAGTAGGGCAGTTTACACCACAATATGACATATTACCCTAGTGTGGCAGTTACACCTCAATATGACATAATACACTACAGTGTGGCAGCTTACACAACAGTAGGGCAGTTTACACCACAATATGACATATTACACTAGTGTGGCAGTTACATCTCAATATGACATAATACACTACACTATGGCAGCTTACACAACAGTGTGGCAATTACACCTCAATATGACATAATACACTACAGTGTGGCAGCTTACACAACAGTAGGGCAGTTTACACCACAATATGACATATTACCCTAGTGTGGCAGTTACACCTCAGTATGACATAATACACTACACTATGGCAGCTTACCCAACAGTAGGACAGTTTACACCACAATATGACATATTACCCTAGTGTGGCAGTTACATCTCAATATGACATAATACACTACAGTGTGGCAGATTACACAACAGTGTGGCAGTTACACCTCAATATGACATAATACACTACAGTGTGGCAGCTTACACAACAGTAGGGCAGTTTACACCACAATATGACATATTACCCTAGTGTGGCAGTTATACCTCAATGTGACATAATACACTACAGTGTGGCAGCTTACACAACAGTGTGGCAGTTATACCTCAATATGACATAATACACTACAGTGTGGCAGCTTACACAACAGTAGGGCAGTTTACACCACAATACAACATGTTACCCTAGTGTGGCAGTTACACCTCAATATGGCATAATACACTACAGTGTGGCAGCTTACACAACAGTGTGGCAATTACACCTCAATATGACATAATACACTACAGTGTGGCAGCTTACACAACAGTAGGGCAGTTTACACCACAATATGACATATTTCCCTAGTGTGGCAGTTACATCTCAATATGACATAATACACTACAGTGTGGCAGCTTACACAACAGTAGGGCAGTTTACACCACAATATGACATACATGTATTACCCTAGTGTGGCAGTTACACCTCAATATGACATAATACTCTACAGTGTGGCAGCTTACACAACAGTAGGGCAGTTAACACTACAATGTATGGGGCTTACATTGCAGTATGGCAATTATTCATGCATATGTAAATTATTTAATTTGCATTACATCACAACAATACTCATTCAGTACAGAATTGGTGATTTTAAGTTCACATATTTATGAAGCACTAAGCATAAACAGATTGTTGATTAGATTATTTTCTGGGTTTGAAAATTGCAGAAAAAGAAATTCTACAAATCTCATCTTTTTTTGGTCAAAGTTATGAGTGATTGTGCTCAGGATTTACAATATATATTCACACACGCTATATAGATCGTTTTATTTCAGACATTGTAAGATTTTGGTAACCATTCAGAAATACAATACTAACTTTTGTTAGCTCTTCAATCTGTGTTAGTTTGTAGTGTTGTTGTATGCTCAGTTATTATGACTCTCCAAATATGCAAATTTTCCCAAGAGAGGTTGGTCTTATATCTGCTACCAAATACCATTGATTGCCAATTATAATCTCCAAATCTAGACTACAAAGAAAGAGAGCATGACCTGCAGAATGTTGTCTGGTTATAAACACAACATATATATATTAATTTCAGATTTGATCTAAACATATAGAGAGAGCCACCTAGTGGCTATGAAGAGAATTGAATTTGCAAAGCATGAATCTTGTTTAAGCTTTACTAGAATTTCAAATTTAATACGTTTTAAATATTTGTTTCTTCAGGAAAATAAGTACAATCCATGGGGTAAAGGTTTTGGTGCACCGGAGAGGGATTCAAATGGGAATGTCAGAAGGTACAAGTGGGGAGACAGCCTTGGAGTTAGAGAAATAGTTGACAGAGATACAGTGGTAAGTTACAACCTTAAGAAAATTACTCGATAGCATACTTTTTTTTTATTATTATTTTTTTCGCCTTGATTTCAGCCTGCATCCATTTGTTTTATAAAATCCTGCAGCTTCCTCCGGATTTTAAACGGGTTATCCATATTGTATTGTAGAATGCATTTTTTTCAATAGTTTTTCCCTGGAGAGTGAAATCAGTGATAATTAAACTAGTAATATTATCTTGTAACATTTTCTATAATTTAAATGTTAACATTAAATAAAACTTAAGTGTTTGACTATTGGGAGAAAAATAAATAAGTAGTAAATAAAACTTGTGTTTCAGCGATTATTTGTGTCCAATTGTTGGTGACACTTAGTTTTCTTTTATGTATAAGCAATTTCTACATACAATTGTACTCAATATTCAAGTAGTGAGTCAAGATGAATAAATCACACTGGTGTGTCGTTAAAGCACGGTTGTCGTCGTGCAGCGCGTGTTTGAAGTTCATTTAAAATAATCAATGTATTTTACATGCGTTGTATACGTCACTATAAGTTCCATATCGAACAGGATGCGACAGGACAACTGTCGCCCTTTAAACTTGAAAGATATAAACAAAAACAAACGTATACAATGATTTATAAGATTAAGATTTACCACTGGTATGAAAAAGATCACATGCATTCCAAGATGATCACATCGCATACGTTTCTAGAAATACCAATTCTGTTAAAGAAACAGTAGATTTATCGTCTCAGGCTGTTTTTCCTATACATTCCCAAAGTATGAGTTACGTGGATATTGCTGTTTTGAGTGCAACGACAATCTATTTCATTTCTGTAAAAATGATCAAACATTTCCAAGCGTTCACTGCAATTCTGTCATATCAGCAGTTAAATATGTTTGATTGATGTGTGTATGAACTCATGTTCGATATTAGACTATAGATGTCGTCTATAATCGTAAGACTCTAGATCTAAAAATCAAGAAATAATACAATAATGAATAGTGAGTGTTGTAGGCTTGCCTTAGGTATGGTTCAGTCTGTGTATGCGAGTTTCCATGTTAATTTACTGATGTCAGCCAATCAGTGATGATTCTGTGCCGACTACGTAGGTGTATATCGATTCACTAGGTCAGTGTTGAGTGTGCTAGCTGGATTCCAGGCGAGTTAAATATGATAAATATCATAATTGTATATTATTAAACATCTGTCATCGCAGCACCATAAGTTACAGCATGCCATAATTTTACATCCTACCATATTAGGAAATGCGAATTCTAAATATGAAATGATTACACACATAAGCATCCTCTAATAATAAACAAACATGGCTGCCACCAGGGTTTTACAAGACCCCACACAAAGAAGTTCGCTGAATCTGTTCTAATGATGGCTGCACGTTGGTCATTACTCCAGCTATACTGTCTTTGTGCATATTTTGTGTTATCTTTGTAATAACCTCAAATAACATTTATATCATAGTGTTACATACTATTTATTATTTATGAACTAAATTCTGGGTAATAATTTTAAAATGTGTTCTTTGTTTAGGGTGTTTCATTAGAAACAAAGCCTTATGGAGGTGGTGGTCAGCACATTGATGAAAAAGGTGAAAAGATCACCAGGATGAAAATAACAATGGAACAAGCTAAAACTGGAGGTAAGTTATTACAATCATTCAAATATTAAATTGTAGTGATTGTCGATTTTCTACCAATATTCAATAATCTTGTACTTAATCCGAAGCATAGAAATTAGGTGTAGAATCAGGGTTAGAATAAATTGAGTATTTTTAGTCCGAAATCAGACTTTACGCACAGACCATGTATGGTGATTTACATATGCACATCAATTTTTTATGCTATTTGATAAAGTATAGCTGACTGGTGGCCATTTTTGTTCTACAAAATTGCTGAATTCTGAATTCAGGTTTGGGACCACTTCCTGAGAAATGAGCAGGCTGATTTTATTCAAACTTTTTATCATAATTATTTTTTCAAGATTCAAACAAAAATGGGTGACTGGCAGCCAATTTCTTTTTATTGTCCATAACAATTCCTTACTAATGTATTGCCTGGTTCAGTTGAAAGTTTGCATACAAGTTCTTTACTCATAGGTAATACCGTTGGTTGTTTTATTGACGGCCATTTTTATAAACATGTCCAGAACCATTTCTCAAAGATTAACAGGATAATTTCATTCAAACTTTGTAGCATGATCATGCATATTGAATTACAGGTGCATGTCGAATTATATTCAAACAAAAATGGCCTCCTGCTGGCCATTTTGTTTTTATTCATGTCTGTGCTGATTTCTCACTAATATATTGCCTGATTCAGTTGAAAGTTTGCATACAAGTACTATACTCTTAGGTCATACCATTTGTTGTTTTATTTTGTGATTCGATCAAATTTGTCGTATTGACGACCATTTTGTCTTAAGTTTTGAAATCACAGTTTATTTGGTACAACAATTCTACGTACCTGATTTTGATTGTACATTACATTTATTGGTGATCACATCGCAGCACTATTTAGCCAAATGTACATTCACACTTCTGGATCGATGCTAGTGTTGGAATTTAGCATTAAATGAAGAACGAGGACTGCATGTGTATTGCCCATACTTGTCTAAGAGCAATAAATATGTAATACGTTAATTAACTTTCTTCGTAAATACCTGTATACATGTACCGTATTTGTTCTATTAGTAGCACATGCACTATGGTGTGTCTATGGTCAAATCAAGGCATATTTTTGTAATCTAGCATACAATAAATAGAATTTGTGGCTTATGTATACTAATAGAGCAAACATGATGGTATATCTGAATGTTTTGTGTCTCTAACCACTGTAATATTTGTTTACTTAATTTCTGTTTGTGATGTTATCAGGGGGTCTTCCCACCACTGAGGGCGGTGTCTGTTTTCCCATAATTCACCATCTCTCACATTTATAACACTAGCACTTGTGCACTTGCATTGTGGGATTGCTGCATGTCACAATTATTAATGCACACATGTTTCCATTGCATGGTGGTTGGGTTCAAAGGAAATGTGCGTGGTTTGATAAGAGCTGCAGGTACAGTATGCATCAATCATTGTAACTATGGTGATAGTGCTTTCTTTAATATTTCACTAGATTCTATAGTTTGTTCCTTAATTAATAAGTGTGTGTTTTTTTTTCTCAAAACTCTGACTAACCATTACATATCTTGTAGAATTTAATTTAACTTTCTTGTGTGACACTAATATTTTTGGTCCAACTCGAATGGTTGTCGAATCTGTTGAATCATGGTGGAATAAACCATTATTAGTAAGATCATGGTAGAATGGTCACTATCAGTCAGATCATGGTGGAATAAACCATTATTAGTCAGATCATGGTGGAATGGACTACAATCAGTCACATCATGGTGCGATAGACCATTATCAGTCAGATCATGGTGGGAAAGTTTATTATCAGTCAGAACACTGTGGAATGGACAACTATTAGTCAAATCATAGTTTGTTGGTCCTGACAATCATCAGTCAGATCATTGTGGAATGGACCCCTATCAGTTAGATCATGGTACAATATACCATTATCAGTCAGATCATAGTTTGTTAGCCCTAACCATCATTAATCACATCATGGTGGGATAGACCATTATCAGTCAGATCATGGTGGAATGGCCACTATCAGTTAGATCATGGTGGAATGGACCACTGTCAGTCACATCATAGTTTGTTGGTTCTGACAATCATCAGTCAGATCATTGTGGAATGGACCCCTATCAGTTAGATCATGGTACAATATACCATTATCAGTCAAATCATAAATTGTTGGCTCTGATCATCATCAGTCAGATCGAGGTGGATATACCGTTATCAGTTAGATCATGGTGGAATGAACCATTATCAGTCAAATAATATTGGGATGGACCACTATCAGTTAGATCATGGTGGAATGGACCATTATCAGTCAGATCATGGTGGAATGGACCACAATCAGTCAGATCTTGGTGGAATGAACCATTATCAGTCAGATCATGGTGGAATGGACTACAATCAGTCAGATCTTTGTGGAATGAACCATTATCAGTCAGATCATGGTGGAATGAACCATTACCAGTCAAATCATGGTGGAATGGACCACTATCAGTCAAATCATGGTGGAATGGCCCTGATCATCAGTCAGATAAAGGTGGATAGACTGCTATCAGTTAGATCATGGTGGGATGGACCATTATCAGTCAGATCATTGTGGAATAGCCACTATCAGTCAAATCACGGTGAAATGGACTACTATCAGTTAGATCATGGTAGCATGGCCACTATCAGTCAAATCATGGTGGAATGGACTACTATCAGTCAC